CTGCAGTACAGGTATTCGTTGTAGGATTAAATACAGTCGAATCTAAACACTTCAGATCGTATGAAACGAATGCGACTCCATTGTAGACACAGAAATAATAATTTTTGCACGTTCCATCAATAATTTCAAAGTATCCTTGTCTTGTGCACGATCTTCCAGAAGGAATTATCTGAAGTATCCCTGATTGAATCAAAATAAAAATGAAGAGAAATACAATGAGAAATACTCTCATTTTGAATATTGGTTCGTAGAAAATGAATTTTACTCGAAGAAAACCAAAAAGAAAATGTTCCTTGGTTTAATCATTGCAACGATATTATATTAACGTCACTGAATTTATTGATTTATTGTTTTATTGTGGCATATCTGCTTAATTCTGAGAAGATATAAGGTAAATATAACGCTAATGTTATAAATAGAGATATACAAATTGCTCTTTTATACAAATATATAAATTTTATACAAATATTGCTCTTTTATAAAATATAAATAAAAATATGTAATAAATATAATAATATAATAAAAATATATATAATAAGAAAAATTAATAATAATATATATCTAATATAATCATCAAGCTAAGAAAATAAAAGAATTTTTAATGATTTAAAGTGTTTTTATACAAATGATGTTACGGAGAATAAATAATAAACAATGTTAAACTATATATTTAACATTGTAACATGTTTTCATATTTTAAAAATGTTTAAGAGAGTTTATTGAAAGTATCTAGTGAATATTCGCAAATCGAAAAAAGAATATTAAAAAAGAATCAAAAGATAAAATCAAAAAGAAATGATAATATAATTCATTGACAAAAAAGAAATGATATGTTTATTTAAAAGATAATTATTATTATTTGATTATATTTCATATTTCTTTCAATAGATGATAAATTTTTCCACTTTATTATTAATTTGTGTTATTAATAATTGTTAATTTATTAAAAATATTTTTAAAAATATGTTACTCTTATGATATTTTATTTACTATGCTTCCTTTTTTCTTTATTAAGTTTTAAATAATTGAAATTTATATTAAACGAAGAGAAACGAAAAAAGAGTAAGTATATTTTATCGCATTCTATTTTCTTCTCACTTCATCTAATAAAACTTAAATTGCTTATAATTTAATAAATAAACTTTAATTGATATTTTTGTATCAACTTTTGTACTTATTTTTTTCTAAAATCAAAGATGTCTCATGAATATATTAACAGCGTACAAAAATACTATTATAATATTTTTTTTCTTAATCTTGTGTTATGAATTTATTGATATTTTAAAATAATACATTAAATAATATGTAAAATAATGTTCATATAAATTGAAAATATTATTGTTGAAATGATTATTTTTTTTAATCTACTAACTTGAAATCTTTTCAATCAAAATTATATTTATATAATAAGAAATACTATTTATCAAAAATAAAATTCATATTATTATAAATTATTGAACAAAAATTTGTAAAATTGATAATAACAAGTAATAATTTTTAAATGATTTGCAGTAGTAGTAGTAATTGTCAATCAAATTTAGATTTAAATATTTCTATAAAAAGTGATTTTTATTCGTTATTATAATAAAAAAAAATTTTGTCCCTATGTTTATATCCTAATATATATAGATAATATAATAAAAAATATAATATATATATATATATATAATAAAAAACTGTAATAAAAGTATAATAAAATATTACATCTTTTTACTTGGAATTATCTGTTTGAAATCATCAATTCAAGTTTTCTCAAACAACCCTAAAATTAAATAAATTTTCCCTAGATTGTTTAACAGGTAAAAGAACTTTCGTAGAAATATATACGTTATGAGAGAGAGATTGGTAGATAGAAAAGGAATTCGATTCTTTAAGAATAAAAGAAAGGATAAAGAGATGTAAGAGAGTAAGAGAGAGAAAGAGAGAAGGAAGGAAAGAAGGAGCAAATGTATATAAGCGTGTTGCATGGAAGACGCTTCAATGGACTCTCTCTTTGACCCTACTAAAGCGTGCACCTTTCTTCCTGTTTTTTCTTCATTCTCCTTCCTTGCTCTTTGAAGTTTTCTCGTACAAAATCTCCTTCGCTTTGTGTCCTTCTTCTTCGATACATCTTACTGTGAAGAAGTGATAGTTCTTCCGCGTCGCGCTCATTTCAATTGTGTGTTATCAAGGATGAAACATTGAATTTTTATCTCTTTCTTTGCTGTCTTCAAATTACATGGTTTTTTGTAAATTGTTTCTTTTCAATTAAAAAGTGTGACAATCAAATTGAAAAGTTTTAATTTGGTTTTTGTGATATGTTTTTAACGAAAAGGATCTAAAATATAGACAGTGAAACATGAATATTCTTCAAGTGAGTATAAATCATATTTTAAATTAAAATGTTTATTAAACATTTAATTTCTTTTCAAATAATAGCAATTTTAATTAAAATTTTTTTAAATTAAAAAAAGATGTTATTTTAGTACGACTATCCTATCCTCAAAGAAGAATGATAATTTTTAAGATTTTTATTTCTGGAATATCTTTAAATATATTTTAAAATTTCATATAATTATAATTGTTCATTTGAAAAAATTATAATATTAAATAAGAAAAAACAATATTAATTATTTTGATTTAAATTTCAAATAAATGAAAAATAATTATATTTTGGAAAATATAAAAATGTTTGTATATAATTATTATTAATTAAATGCATAATTCATTCCTTAAGTTAAATAATAATAATTTTTAAATTAACAAAATTTCTTCAAATCTTAGATAAATAATAACATTGTGATATTAAAATTTTTGATAATTTACATATTGGATAATACATTATATATTATTTTACATATTATTTATTATTTTATGCTTATTTTAATTCATATTTATTTAAATTTTATATTTATTTTAATTTTATTTTGTTCTTAATTAATATAAATTAGATCTAATTTAATATATGTATATGTATGGTCATTAAAAATTTAAAAAGAAAATATTAAAAAAAATATAAAATCAGATATAAGCAAGTTTGAAATCTTTCTTGTAATATTTTTAAAGCAAAGCCTTTCATTTCACTTTTTATTAATTTTTATTAATTTCGTAAAAATATATCAAATCATTATATTATGAGAATGTTATAATCTTTTCATTTTAATAAATAAAGATATATAATATAAGATTGTAATATATAATATAAGTAAAGATATAAAATGCTTTTAAAAATTATATATAATATCTAATAAATGTTTTTAAAAATATATATAATATAATTATATATAATTATATATATATAATCTTTTTATTTTAATTTTTCAAATTAATTATCAAAAATTTAATTTTATAATTAAGTATCTTACAAAATTCAATTCTATATGATAAAAAAATAAATATAGATAGATTTTTCTAAATTATTAAAAAATTTTTTTTTCTATATAATAGCGTTAATATTTTTTTTTTATCTTTTTATTCAATTAAATTTTTTATTTATGATTACATTCACTAATAATTAAAAATTAATGATTAGAAACTCTATACATATGTATTTTATTGATTTTGCATTATATTTGTGAGAGTAAATGTTCGACTTTTTAACCATACATCTTATGAGGCGAAAGCCGTACTGACGAAGAAAATTACTATTTTTTTTCAGATAAATTTTATATTATATTACATATATATATAAATATACTTTAATTTTATATATTGTATATATTGTATAAATTTTTTTATAATTTCTATTGTTTAATTTTTGAATTTTTATATATTCTTTATTAATTCATAAATTATCTTTAAATTATAATTAATGCTAATGGAATATTAATTTTAATACAAAATAAAAAAAGCATAATTATTTTTTTATTTTAATTAAATAAAAAATTTTATATTTTATTAAGAAATATATTTTTGTTTTTTAATTTTTTTTCAAAAAGAAATTATTTTATGTACGTATATTTTGAAAGTTACAAATAATAAAATATTATGGAATAATATAATTGGTTATTATGTATTAGGAAAAAATTATTATTTACTTATTTACTTATTTATTTACTTTAAAATATAACTGGTAGTATAGTTGAAAGAAGAATTGAATAATTATTCTCTTAAAATTATTAACCTATGCTTTTTAATTTAAAATTTTTATTAGAACTAAATATATGTTTCTTTGTGTAGAATTTTATAAAAGAACAAGTACTTGATTTATCATGCAAAGCATAGCAAGCGAAAGTTAAAAATCACGAATTCAAAGTCTGGCAACACAATAATCCAACGACATGACCAAATTTAAGTATTTTTTTAACATCCGTTTACGATCAGTTTACTTCCGATTTTCAATAAATTAATAAATTATTTACAACATTAAAGTATGAGTATGATATTAATTTATTTGATAAATGTGAATAAACAATTTAAAATAACTTCAAAATTTTAAGATATTTTGAGATTAAATTTTATTTTTTTTAATTTTTCTTATAAAATTCCTATTATTTAAATTTTTTTGTCAAATTTTTACGAAGAAATTAATTCCAATATTATTTTGAAATGTACATTTTGATTTCATCATATATATCTTACTAAAATTTCAAATGAACAAAATATACATATTTTTTATCTTTCATTATAATCATTTTAATCATTCTTTTGTTTTATATATTCATATAAAAAAATTTTATTTTTAGACGTTTTAATTTTTTGTTAAAAATTTGAAAATATTTTCTGACATAAATAATAAACATTAATAAACTAATTTACACACTTCTAATAGTTAAAATATAACAAACTTACTTGTCTGTAGGTAAATATAAAGGATATATAAAAAATTTCAAATACTATATATTATATTTTATAAATTCCATATAATTGCATATTGCATTTCTTGATTTGAAAAATTTTGCTACGATTTTTTTATTTGACTTTTGGCAAACTATCAAAAAATTAATTCGCGGATATGATCATTTGCAAAAGCTTTCGAAAGTTAAGACTGATTTGTATACATCATGAATTGTCAATCACACATGATCCAACAAGAATGCGTGAACGATACAAGGGAAACATATGCTCGACGCTTTCGAATGATCCTCGTCGTTTGGCATAGTGCCAACGTAGGAGCGAAACTCTTCCGAATACGACCTAAATCTGTCGCTTTCCGTTTGCACGTTTCTTCCTCTTATCAATGTCAATACGGATTTTCTTTGAATAAGTTTTATGACCTTATTAAGTATGATTAGAGTTTAAATTCTATTTTTATGTTCTCTCCTCTTTTTTTCTTTTGAATTTTCTTATTACGTAAAATAAATGTTACTTGTTTTTCTGTTTTAAATTTTTAATATTAAATTTGTTTTTCATAATTGAATTGTAATTATAAAACTATTTTTATTAAAATAAAGCATACATAAAGTATTTATTTTTATACATAATTCAGAATAAATAAGTTGATTGATTGTTTTATTATTATTAGTCTTATTGTCTTATTATAAAATTGTAATTTATATGTTTATATAATTTATCATATATAATAATATAATATATTATTATGTAATATTATAATGTAATATATAATTTGTCATATAATTTTCATTTTTCATATATTCATATATATTTATATATAATTTTGTCACTTCTTATTACTAATATTAGTTAATTGTTATGTAAAAAGATTTACAATCAGAAATGATTTTCATGTGTTTATTAATAAATTGTTATCAATAACTAATATTGCAACTATACTATTAATCATTTATCTAGAATAAATATTTGTTTTGATAATAAAAATAAAAAACATGATTTATTCTAACATCGTTTAGATTTTATTATAATTTCGAAAATTAAATATCGTATTTATATCAAATATTCGAAAATTAAATAAAATTTGTTTGATCATTTTATTATGTTATAAAAATAACTTATATTGATTATATGTCGATTACAAAATGTCGAAAATAAAAATATTAAATATATATTCTGTATTTGTTATTTTCTCTCATTTGTTAAAAAACTAAATATTCAAACTTAATCTAACTTAATTTAATCTATTCATTGATTAAAATGAACAAAAATATTAAATATTCTTTATTTATTATTTTCTATCTTTTAAAAACCGGAATATGTTTGATATGCGCAATAATTAACTCTCATTATCAAGGTATTCCTGAAATTATTTTTCCCATACAAGATAGTTAAAACCGTTAGAACTTGTTTCTTTTTAGAGTAAGATTTTAAGATTTTCACTTTATCTCTTCTCACTAAGTTCTCAACAAACAGAATCTTTCTGTTTGAAAGTTAATTTTTTACTACAGTTATCTTATAAAGAGATTACACACAAACAAGATTATGTATTGAGATAAGTTAGAATAAAATTTATAATAAAATTTCTCTCTTCTAAAAATCGAAATATTAAAAAACACTCTATTAACAATTATTAAGGAATCATATTGAGAAATGGTATTAAAAAAACTCTGTTAACAATTATTAAAATTTCTATTAATCAGAAAACTAAATTCACTATTGTATCATGATTTCATTCAATCTATATATTTTCATTTTCATTTAATTCTACAATCAATTATTAATAATCAATAATCTTTTGTTATACTTTTCCATATGTTAAGCTTGTTAATGTACATATTGGAAAATTTTATCTTTTGATCTAATATTTTCATCATAATTATTTAATTTTATGATATTAAAAGTCAACAAAAAATTAAATATTATTTACTATTTTAAACTTTTTCTGATTAACTAATAGTGTAACTATATTATTTAAAGGCAATAACAATAATTTTATATCGTCTATATTATTTTTAGTTCCTGTTAAAATAGGATTTTTAACACATTGCTTCAAAGAAAAATTCTTAATAAACTTCGATATTATTTCAATTTGAAATAATCAGAAGAAAATTGCAATGTCATTATCGATTGGTTAGTCTCGATTAGCGTCGATATTTATTCTGGCACAAGTATCTCTCACATGAGCGCACTAACACTTTGCTGAATGCATATTATACAGATTACATGCAACCACGTATTACATCTTTTCACTGTAGGCCGACTCTCGTAATACCCACAGCACACTTACCTACATTATCCCTGCTATACTGAATATCTCTTATATATCTTTACTATTACTGTGTGTGAACCACCTACTCTTCAATGAAGAAAAGATCTATCTCACGACCGAGCACATATTGTTTTTTGATAACCAAAATTAGATGACAATGTAATTTTAATGACTCAATTATCTATATCTTGTTAGTAAGAGTATCGTTATAAATGTTATAATAATTTTTTTTTTTTAACAAATATATCTTAGGTATAAGTGATTTAATAATAATTCTGCATTATGTATAAATGATGAATTTTAAGATTAAAATAAAAGTTTTGTTTGTTAATTTTTTATATTTTCTTATATAAAAAGCATATTTATATCGAATTTAATATTTAAACTTTATTTCTATATAATATCGAAAATAAATAAATAAAAAGTATTTATAATAAAATATTTATAATATATATGTAATATATAATTATATTTATAATAAAATATTTCAAATAAAGAATATATTAATGTATTTTTAATTAAATGATTTATTATTTTTTATTTTATAGTCTAAATTATTTGTTATTTGTTTTTATTTTTGATAAAAATAATTGTATTTATAAATGTTTTTCTTATTATTGTTTCTTATTATTACAATTATTACTACAAATTTATTGTTCAATATTTATTTTGAATGTAATATTTCAGGAATAATTTTCAATTAAAAAATAAATATTGTTTCTTTAGTTTATCATATTTCTAAATATTCATATCTCAAATTTCTTTAATTGACTAAATAAACTGTATCTAATATCAATTACATACATTGCTATATATATGTACAATTGAAATAATATCAAAGTTTATTAAGAATTTTTCTTTGAAGCAATGTGCTAAAAATCCTGTTTTAACAGGAACTAAAAATAATATAGACGATATAAAATTATTGTTATTGCCTATCAAACAACAATTAATATAATATAAAATTTCAATTATTTTCAAAATATTATTCGAAAAAAACTAATAAATAAATTTCATTCTCGATTCGAATTCGATTAAATAACAAATTTATTATCAAATTATTTATTTTAATTTTTAAAAATCATTTAAAATTCATTTAAAAATTATTTTAATCATTTAAAAATCATATTATCTTATCTCTTCTTTTCTAAAATATTTACAAAGACAACGAATGACAAAAAATTGCACATTTTGTTACTTTCGCTTGAGCAACCATTTCTTGTCTGGAGCTAAAAATATAAAGCACACTGACTTTGATGTTAGTAGGTTTAAAAGTGATATGAAGAGACTATGTCTTTTTTTTTTTTTTCGTTTCCGTTTGTTCACTTTCTTATGCAGTTCCGGTTCTCGCGATAAATATGGTGATCCACGAATACTCTCGTTCTTTCTCACACGTTCGCATATTTCACGATAAACGTAAAATAGTACGTGGAACTCCACAGGAACACCATTGACTTTGTAACTCGTGAGAAACTCATAGTTGCCCGTTCAAATCTTCTATATACTTGATTTTATATCATGCTTGCTCCCCTTTCTCTTCTAACCTTTTGTTTTGATAATTTATTCAAATATTAATTTATACAGTGATGAAGAAGAAGACTAATAAATAATTAGTTTTTACAAAGTTTGAACTATTGTTATGTCTATATAATCAAGATATAAAAAAATATTTATATCCTATGTTACAAGAAAATTTTATATCTGTGTAAAACATAATGAATTATACATGGAGCAATTTTTTTCACTGATAAATCCTTTTGAGAGAATGAACTTAACCTCCAAAAGTTTCAATATTTTTTTAATTTTGGAAACAATCTTATCTAAGGATATTTTTTTACAATAAAATGATAAAACATTAAATATTTATAATTTAAAATTCTGAATTCTGAAAGAAGTAGTACTGAAATGCTGATTTCATTTTCTTACTTAAAATGATGTTCTATTTAAAAAAAATTGTTACATATGTAACATTCATTATATTTTAAACACAAAATTTTATTAAAAGTAAAAAAATTTTTTAAAAATAAAGAATTAAAAAGAGTTTTAAATTTTTGTAATATAGAATGCGAATAGTTTTTTGTGACTAAATGTATTTGCATATAATTACAAAAATAATTTTCATTCATTTTTAGCATCTTTTAAAGTATCTTGTTAAATCGAAAATACATAATTGGTTAAATATGAAATGTGGAAATAAAATTTATATAATTAGTATAGAAATATAGAAGTATTTTAATTTAAGAGAAATTATGTAGTAGCTCTGGCATAATTCGAAACGGTACTGAAAGTTCCTCAGGAAATGACCTACTTCAATTTACCCTATGTGTTTATTTTCCATAGTTATTGGCTACTGTGAGAAGTATACAAAGTTTTCTTAGAATATAAATTCATGAATTTTCTCTGTTAGAAATTTGATATTTATTAATTATTATTGAATTTATGATACATTATTTCTCGTGATATACGTGATATCAAATCGTTTCAATAAATCTATAATTATTTATAAATCTATGTTTGAAAATTTTATTCTTTATTTTACACTTTTTCTTTATTTTACACTTTATTTTACACTTTATGTTATATTTTATATAAGTTATACACTTTCGTTTTAAAGATGATGTGGAATATCTAAATACGAAGTAAATTTAAAATTTAATCTAATCGTCAATATATATGCTTTTATAGGTCTCGTTAACACTATTGCTATTCATCTTTATATGTGATACATCGTCATGTTTGAAGACTGATCGAAGCGAATCGTTCTTTAATGGTCCAAATATTAGTCGGCGCAGTCGAAGGATCGGATTAAATGAATATTTAGTTCCACCTCCGATATCAAAATCTCATTCTCTGAGAACAGGAAGAGTGACAAATTCTTTGCCGACGGAATCACCAGGATATCTCTCACAATTGATGAACTGGTTAAATCCCTTTAATTACGGTTCTTCCACTTCTGCACCACTAAAAGCACCATCACACATTGAAGTATCTTATCCTCCACCCCCTCAATCTTATGCCCCATCGACATTTAATTTGCATTCTGCTCTGCAACTTGGTCCACCTCCACCTCCACCACCTTATCCTCCATTTGAACCTCAAACTGGTTCGCTTCTTCATCCTTCAATTGGATCTCAAACTGGTCCATCTCTACATTTCCCTATTACTTCATCCGCTCCTGCTCAATATCCTGGTCTCTTGCACACAGCTTCTTCCGTCTCCCATCTTGGTCCACCACGTAGCCCTCCCCCTGGTCCAAGTTTACAATTTTACAATGTCCCTTTAGACAATTTTCTCGATGTGCAACGTGCTCAGAAAAACCATCGTGCAATTCATGTATCAACGAACAAAGGGAAACAATGCAATCCTTGTAATAAAGTTCCTTGGATTCCAATGCAAAGTGGAGGCCATTCTGACAATTATCCTCCTCTTCCTTCTCCCCCTGCCCAACTTTCGAACAGTTATCTCCCTCTTAGCAATCAAGCAAATCACGACGTCCAATTCGCTGCTTCGCATGAGATCAGAATACCAGAAATTTCTCAGACACCCGTTGATCAAAATCCATTCAACGATCCATTACCAAATCCACAATTATATTCTGCATCAGTGTCTCCACTGTACGAAATAAAACCTTTCGATAGACCGTCTCAAAATCCATCAGAGATAGAAAATTTCGAATCACCGCCTGTTTCTGTAATACCGTTGAGTGGCCAAGAATACAAAAACCCCGAAATTAACGACGAACGCTATAATATTCATAACAACAATGATGTAAGATCCATTGGAACGGAAGTTAATGAAGGAATACTTCAAAACCAAAATGAAATAAACAAAGGGCTTACAGATCATAAAGAATCATACGACAGTTCTATTCTCAATACTCAATCTTCTATATCAGGACCATTTTTTGATCAAGGATATAGCAATAATCCTTCGATCTTGAACCAAGAAAATGGCGGAGTTATAAATCAGCCTGTATCACACGTTCAGAATACTGTTAATAGTTTTGGTTCGAATCTTAAAAATCACGAATTCCCCAATCAAAATGATTATCAAGAATCGTTTAAATCGAACCCAATCCCGAATATCGATTTGAATTATTTACCGCCAGATTTAAATCCATCGGCAAGCTTCGGTACTTCAACTTTTCACCAAAGTGTGGAAAATTTGAATTATTCTGATTTATCTCCTAGCGGAAGTGTCGTGAAAAATTCTCATGTAACGACTCAGACACCTGAAACGAGTTTTGCCTCGAAAGAGGAATCGATACATTATGAAGAATCGCCACTGTTGGATCTGACGAAAAATGGCGAAAGTCGAACAGATGCACAATGGCCGACTTCCACTAATGGATACAACGATATCGATGATGCTTCCGATAATACGATGAAGACAACTACGGATTATAGTTTAGAAACCAACAATATATACTTCGAGGATTCATCGAGCTTTGTCAAACCGACTGATTCTTATACTTCGTCGGATATTCAAAGTGTTAACAATATTTTTGGAACTTCGACAACCACTAATGAGGTTTTTTTAAATCATAATAATAATAAAAATCAGGATGTCGAAATGTCAACAATTACTACACAATATACGAATCAACAAGATGTTTCATATATTCCGCCATCCGAACAACCGGGATATTTGTGGCCAAATTTGTCCATGAATACGTCGAACGATTCTTCGAGAAATCAAGCGTTTTTGAATCATCTTGCTAAATCAAACAATTCTGTTCTAGAAACTAAGAATTTTTGGAAGCAAGATAGTTTAGATTTAAGAAATGTCAAAGATACGTTTCAGAAGCAACAAAATATGAAGCGAAATAAACAAGTAGGTAAAATAAAAGAATTCATATATGATAGTATATTACGATAGAATTTTTATAGAAAAATTATAGTTAATTTAAAATATAATAATTATTAAAATAAAATAATTGTAAATTTGTTGCGTAAATTTCTTTTTCAACGAGATTTAATTTTAATAATAATTGAAACATTGATATAATTAATATAATAAATTAAATTTTATAACATGTAAAAGATCGATATATTATTATTTATAATAATAATTATTAGATATTTTAGTTTATTTATAAAATTGAATTATTCGAAATATATATTAATAAAATGATGAAGCAATATAGTATATACGATCTCCTTAAATTTAATTAAAAATTTTATCTTATAAAGAGAAGATTAAAACGATATGAAATTTTACTTAATAACACTTATAATTTTTTTTTTCTCTATCTTCAATATTATCTGATTGATATATTACACAAAATACACACAAAATGTGAATTTATAAATGTAATATTTCTATAATTATAATGTCACAAATATTTCATATGTCTGAATTATATAAATTTATTAAAATAATAATATTTTAGGTACAAGTCATCATACCGTATACGTCAGAATATACGCCAATTCCGTTTCAACAATCTTACGGAGATTGGAGTGTTAAAACTAATTTCAATCGAACACAGTCAAGAAAGATTCCTCCTCGAAGTGAATTGAACGATGATAATTACCTGCAACAAGAATATAGAAATGAAATTCGGGTTGTTAATCAATTTCAATCGCAATTCAATTTCAACAATTCGAACAAATTGAACGTCCAATCACTAAGACCCGAGAATTCACGAAGCACTACAGCAAAAGCAAACAATTCCATTGACGTACGCAGATTACAGAAAAATATCGATAACTGGACGATACAAGTAAGCTTATAATATTATAATTATAAAAAAAAATACACATATATCTTATTATTATATATATAATTATAAAGTTATATAATATAATAAGGAGAAAAATTATTTAAAATTAATTAATAATAATAATAAATTTCTTATGAATAAAATTGTATAATTTTAAAAACAATAAAATGAAAAACAAATGCAAAATTATAATTTTAATAAATAGAAATCGTATATGCTTTTGATAAATCATTAAAATGATGACGATATTTGGATGCTAGAAAGTTTTAAACTACTTTATAAATAGATCACGATTTTACCCAGATTTTATTTGATTTTAGTTAATTTTTCTATACTTGTTACATAATTTTCATATTTCTTTTTTTTTAAGAAAAATTTTATTTATTTTATTATCTTTTTTGAAAATTAGAAATCATTTAACATGATGATTTTTTTTATTAAATTTTTTTCTAATTTTAAATTGTTCAAATTAATTAATATACAGCTCTATGATACAACTCTAATTCTTAACAATTCTTTTTTAATTTTCCAAAAAATATAAAAAATATAAAAAATATTGAATATAATAGTAAAAAAATATTAATATGATTAATATTAATATGATTAATATTTTTTTTCAATGGATGATTCTCTATATCGCAGAACAAAATTATTGTAATAAAGAGAATAAAAAATAACTAATAAAACATTTTTCTTTAGGAATATTCAAAACCTACAACATTTAGCACGATTTTACCTAGTTCCTTGCACCCTTATCTTTCACCGTCAAAGAAAATTCCAACTGAATACTTGACAACGACGGAACCAGGCGACCACGGGAACCAGTTGAAAGATCACAATGAAAGTGTGAAAACGTATTCTTTGGCTGGCTTTAGTTTCAATGAAGTAGAACACGAAGGATCCGCAAGTAATCATATTGAAGAAATGCAGCCGGTAATTTATTATGTGCTACCTTTATAAACTCTAATTTTCACCTTTCATTATATTTATTTCCAAATTGTTATTTTTCATCTTGTAAATTGTGAATTAATGATTTACAGTGTATTTATAATAATGATGCTTTACTATTATTAATATTTTTGATATTATTTTTCTACAGTAATCTCTAAATCATTATTACCATATAAAATGCAAAAAATACATCTGAAATTTTTTTATATTATAAATATTCATAAAAAAATATATTTCTGATATTAATATATTTTTTGAACTATATATTTAATTTATTTGTCTTATTAAAAAAAAAAGATATATATATATTATAGTATTTACTAATCTGTTTATGAATTATCTTTAAATTGAATTTTTTAATCAGGATATTTTTGTTTAAAAAATTTTTAAAATTTTTAAATTAAATTAAATTAAATTTGTCGTTAAGTGAAAGAAGAAATACTAAAGCAAGAATTCGAAATAGAACTTTATGATAAAAAGATTCACGCTTTAAGAAAACTGAATAATAAATAGATTTTTCTATTTTTAAGATTCATTTTAATTTAAATAATCCATATCTTAAATATTTAGCTATTTTTGAAGAAAAATCTACTTATCTAATGAATATTTTTTGAATATTTTTTGAAATATAATTTTCTTATTAATATGATATAAAATTATACGTATTTATCGTCAACATATAATTTTTTTTACATATTTAATATTTCTATAGATATTGTAACATAAAATTAAAAATATTAAAATCCACCAAAAAACAAAACTTATTCAAAAATTCATTTTCAACATTTTAATTTTTATAACAATTTAAAATTTTTTAAAAAAATTTTTGCTACTTTTATTAATTTATCTTTTTTTAAATATGCTTTAATAATATTTGTATAATTATAATATTTGTATAATATAGTAATTATTCGTATAATTTTTCAATCAATTTTTCTCATAAATATCTTAATTGTTGATTTTCAGTCCGTGAAAATTGCACACATAAATAATCTAAAAAGCAGTAGCGTGCATAGCGTAAATAAATCCGCAATAGAAGAAAAATCGACATGGGAATCGCATTCTGTGTCGATATCGCCTGTAAATAAAGAACGAGTTTACGTGGTAACGCCATTACCAACACCGGAAGTACCTTCGAAAAACGGTTTAACAAAACAACAAAAGAAAGAGGAACAAAAAAATTTGCAACGATCAAGTGAACCGATTGTCAATGATACAAGCAACAATAAAAATAATTTAAACGAATTCGAGGCTATCGAAAAAGCTTATCAAGTACTTCCACAAGCTGTAAATAATCTTGCTGTAGCATCCACGGGAAAGGAGAACATCCCTTTGTGGGGAATCATGGAACACGAAGAATTTGCTTCGTTGAATCCGGACGAAAATGATGAGGAAACTGACGATATTGCGGATGGACCAGTACTTTATTCTGGACATTCAAAGGTGATCATCAAACATTGAAAATGTTAAATTAAATGATATTCTTGCGTTTTTTTTTTTTTTGGTATCTTTTCAATAATTTTAAAAACAGAAAATTATTCGAATAAAGACATTGTTGATTGCTAATTATTAAATTTATATGAATTTATATGAATTTAATGACATTATTTATAGGTATCACGAGCTAAACGATGACGCAAATATTATGAAAAAAAATATGAAGGCTGAAGGACACAATTTTTAATTGTAAATATTTGACTGTATCACCCTTTCAATTTTAAGAACTTTTTTATTATTTGATCTTCGTGTATCAAAATATAAATGAGACAAGTGTGTTTCCAATAGACGATTTCAATCTTATTACGGCCAGCGAATACTAATAGCACTAAGTCAATATAAGTCAATAGGTTAGTTATTTGTAAAATAAATAAATATATAATCAGTCACAGAAATATTCGTATATTTATATTACAAGAAAATCATATTATTTGAAAATTTTAATTTTAAAGTTTAATTTTATTGAAGTTTATGTAGAGCTTAATGAGTTATACATGGAATAATTTTCTTATCGACAGAAAATTTCTTTGAGGGAGTGAAATCAATCTCCAAAAGTTATATCACTTTTTCAATTTTGAAAACAATTTCATCTGCAAATATTTTTCATAACAAAATAAAAAAATATTAAAAACTAAACATTTTATAATTTAATATTTTGTCTAATTTAAACTCGTATTACAAAACTATATTAAAATTTTGACTATTAATTTCATTTCGTTAAAGTGATATTTCGCTAAAAAAAATTACTACATATGTAATTTATTAGATTCTAATAAAGTTTTATTAAAAACTTAGGAAAAAATTAAAAAGAAAAATTAAAAAGATTAAATTTTTGTAATTTTTGTAAGAATATAAATATTTCTGTGATTGTATATTTTTGTAAAAATGTTCGTTTTATTGAGATTTGTTTTCTATTTTTATTTTTATCTTTTATACTAAGAATTATTATAAAAATATTTTTCCATTCATATAAAAATTAATTTAATTGTGCATTTTGTAAATACATAAAATTAAATATATTGTAAAATTAATAATAGAATTAAACTAATTTTAAGGATCTGTACACAGGTAAGCGTACACATAAGTTTCTTAATTACAATTGTATTTCTTAATTATATAGTAGAAATTTCAATTTGTTATACTATTAAATATTATTAAATAAATTAAGATAAATTAAGATAATTAATAATATAAATTATTAATGTAACATTATTAATAGTTTTTTCTAATTATGAATTTATTATTATAAATATTACTTTACTAAATGAAAAAGTGAAACGCATGATAATGAATAACATAAATCTGAAATGTATAAAACAATAAATTCTTCAACGAACTACAGTTATATTATGAAAACATTTATCACTTTTTGAAATTGATTTTTTAATGCTATTAAATTTAAATTTTGTTTAAACGAATTAAAAGTTTATGTTTAGACATTTCGTGAACTTTTTTTTATGAATACACATACAATATATATAGTTATATTATTAATAATATACATATTTTCTTTTGTGTTCACCACTTTCGATTTTGCATAATTGGAAAGCATCCAAAGGAAGTACTTATTTGTATTCAGATGCTATAGTAATGCACATTTATACGTATTCCACATACATGTTTGACAATGTTTTAAACTTTCCCAATTATATGGTGAAAGGAAATCGTATTCCGATTCATGTTGTTTCATCAATTGAAAAAAGCGATCATTTTACCATAATTCCGTGACTAAAATTTAAAATCCCATGAAATAGCGTAGAGAAATATTTAAAGAACGTTTATATTTTTAACATTTAAATTGTATTACAAAAGTATATATTAATAACTGAATTAATATAAGATTAAAAAATATTAGAAAGTTTCAACTGAAAAAAAAGATAATATTTTTATATATATAGAATTTAGAGATAAGTTTAAAAGAACAATTTGTTATCTCGAATTAAAAACTTTTACGATATATAAATTGCAATATTTTCATTTATTTTCATTTTAATTTATTTAGAATTTATAATTTATTATTTATTTACACATAGAGAGTTATATGTTTTATTTGAAATAATTAATGACCAATAAAAATTAAATTCAAAGGTAATCAATGAAAAATTAATTTCTTTGTATATATGATTATCTAAATAGTTAATAATAATTTGAGAAATCATAAACAATTTATCTATTGTATTACAACATTGCAGAAACTTAAATTTTTGTATATAATTCTAATTTTATGACTAGAGATTTGTTATATTTTAAAAAAATACTGTAAGTATTTTATAAGATAGATATATAGTGAATATATAAATTGAATCTTATGACTATATAATGACTATAATTGAATTTTAAATAGATACAAATAGAAATTATTTGTGAATAATTCTTATTTTTTCTAAGCTTCCTTTTATAATATTTAATATTATTTAATTTAAATTATATTTAAAATCTGAATTTAATCAAAACAAATTTTTTGAATTACAGCAAAGCATTTAAAAATTATTTTCATTGATTTTATAAATTTTTGTTTAATAATTTATAATTTATTAATTTAAAATTTATATATAATAATTTATAATAATATAATTCTTATTCTTTCAGCAGATAATATATCTCACTTGAAATAACTTTGAGTGAAAAAAGATTAGATTTGAAATAAATTAAAAAAAAGAAGTATTATTTTACAATTATTTTTAATTTACTCATTTATATTTTAATCATTTTAGATATATATTTTAATATATTAATAAATTTAAAATATAGAAAAAATTTTAAATTGATAATATAATAAAAGTAAGAATCAAAAAATTAAGAAATATGTTTAAAAATATATTCTAAAAAAAAAACTTCAAAGCTTTAGCAATATTAAAAATTAATCAACTATTACTATCTTTTAGTGAAAATATATAAATCATATATTAAATCAGGAAAATTATAGAGATAAATATTTTTCACTATTAGAAAATCATATCTATAATTTTGATTTTTTCTAGCAACTTAATGTGTATACAAATATATATACAAAAAACAATAAAAAATAAAAAATCTTTTTTATATTTTGATATAAAAAAAAGTATATCTTTATCTTATATCTATTTTTCAAATATTTACATTATATAGACCTATATAATCGATTTTTTCAAATTAATCTCTTATGTTATTTCTTTAACAACAAACGAGAACTTTTACCGGAAGATTCTGAGAAAAAATGATCTATTGTTGTCATATAAGATCATGATTGTTGTGGAAACTCTTCACGTCATTGTTTCTGTGGCGAACGAACACGCTCATGACCTTAATTAAATTCGAAATGATATAGCAGTTGCTGTTTTTTATAGAAAGTATCTCAGTATTTTCATTTCATAAATATATATGTGTGAAGAAAATATACGTTAAAATCTTTATCAAAATAAAACAATCTTTCATAGAATAAGTATTTATAATCATTATTCTATATTCAATATTCTATAATCAATATTCTAATTATTCATATTATAATACAGATAATTCACATTTTATAAATTTTATGATACCAATTTCTATTAAGATTTTTAGAAATAAAAATTAGAAATTTTTTAAATTATTCAATTAATGATTTATTCATAAAAAATAAACAAACTATAGCATAATATTCGAAAATATGAAATAATTAATTAGCAATAAAGATTAAATATTTTAAAAACATTTAATAATCAATTAATTACTATTATATATATATAATAATTTTCATAATAATAATAATATGTAATTTCTTTCTAAAATTGTATTAAATTACTGCAAAGTTCATAGCAAAGTTAAAAAAAATTCAAAAATTATTTGTATAAAATTAACATTTTATTAAACAATATATAATAATATATATACATATTCCTTAAAATTTATTGAACAATTTCATAATTTTTTTCCAATAACTTTTTATACTTTCAGATGAATTCATTTAATAGTTTTTTCAAGCATTTAATATTTTCTTTTTTTTTTTCTTAAGAAAAGTTTTAAGTATTTTTAATGAAAAACAAATGATAAATAATGAATACGTCCAGTGAACATATAGAGATGAAATAGACAGTAGAATTCAAATTCTGAAAAAAGTTCAATTCTTTATTAGTTTCATCTATATTGAAAAACGATACGTTCCTTTTTTTTTAATAACTATATTCCATGTCCAATTACAAATATAATTAAAATAAAGAATTTATAATAAATAATTATTATATTTTTAACTAAATACATAAGTTTGATATCATTTGTAAAAAATCCGTATAAACTTTTTCATAATAAAAAAAAATGAAAAAGAAAAAAAGATTTTCGATACAAAAGAGTATGCATTTATTCTTTGTTTCTTTTTCTTTTTCATTTCTTTTATAATTTTAAATTTGGTTTTTTTGTTATTTTATAAGTATGTATAATAAATAAATTTTTTTATAAAGTGGAATCATCCAAATGATTAATATCATTGTTATGATACGATGAATATATAACATTAATTAATTGAATATTTTATTATAAAATCAAGAAATTTCCTGTTCTATTCGTTTCTGTGATTTTTTTCTTCGAACAAATATAATTTCTATCGTCCACATTATTACTGTAAATAATGTAACACTATTTATCACAATTAGGGAAGGTGCAAAATTTCCAAAATTATCACGCATTATACCTGTAACAATAACAAAAATACAATTCATTAAATATCAAATATTTTGAAACTTTAATGATATTGCAAAATTTTCATTTTACGTACCAAGTATAGGACCTGCACATAAAAGCAGCATTCCATTTACAATCATTTGAATTCCTGATGCATTCGGTAATTTATGGATTGGTACGTAAGAAGGTATTACTAAACTCATATATATTGAACGTATTCCTTTAGCAGCTCCTAGTCCACAGGCAACGATTAATAATGAAACAAATCCATTAATGAACAATAAAGCTGTATGAAAATTTAAAAAAAAATTCATGTTAAATATAAATATATAATAATATATAATAATATATAATAATAAAAAATATTCGATAATAAAGTAAGTTTGAAGAGACTATTTTTTAAATTATTATGCATTTTATTTTAAATTATTATTTTATTAGGAAAAGTAAATATGTAGAAAAACATAATAATAAAATAATACAAAATAATGATTGATACAATAATTAATATGTGTGATTACAAAATTTAATTAATAAATTTTATGTTTTGATTTTAAATAAATATAATCACAATAGACATTATATAGCATAATAATGGAATAAAATATTTTTTTGAATAATTAAAAAATTGAATAATTGAAAAAATAATAAAAATTTAATCATCTAAATAAATAAATTACTAAATAAAGAATATTTTCAATTTTATTTGTTAAAACATTATTTTTATATATTTCAGTTTAAAAATTATAAGCAAAATATTTATTTTAAATTAAAATGATATTTTACAAAATTTTTTAAAATGATATTTTACAAAGATTTATAATTCTCTTTTAAACAAAG